TCTAGTTAGTCCCATCTCTGAACAATGGGGATATTTGTTACTAGCAGTCACAGATGGGCCATGAGCCATTGTAAGCAGTCTCATACCATCCCCTTCACCATAAACTTACGCTCCGCCTTGAAACCAGTTAGGTTTACTACCCTCTCCACCGGAAGGCTGCTTCAGAACTTCACTCCTCCTTCACTTCATCTCATAGGTGCCAGCTCGTGGGCTGGAGCATCCACAAAAAAAAAAAAAAGTGGGTGCTCAGTGGGGTCTGGGGCAGAGCGGGGAGGTCGAGCTCTCCCCGGGGAAATCACAAAGTCCGTGCCTGTGCTTCATCTAATTTCAAGCCTAAACTTGTTGATGACCAATTTATACTCATTTGTTCTTGGCTCAACACTGGCACTTAACTCCTCACCCTCCCTGGTATTTATCCCTGACGTATGTATAGAGAGCAATCATATCTCCTCTCAGCCTTCATTTGGTTAGGCTAAACAAGCCAAGCTCCTCAAGTCTCTTCTCATAAGGTAGGTTTTCCCTTCCTCTGATCATCCTAGTAGCCCTTCTCTGCACCTGTTCTAGTTTGAATTCATCTTTCTTAAACATGGGAGACAAGAACTGCACACAATATTCCAGATGAGGTGTCACCAGTGCCTTATATAAGGATATTAACACTTCCCTCTCTCTACTGGAAATACCACACCTGATGTATTCTAGGACTTCACATTTCACCAAGACAGTTACCCTGTCAAACAATCAGGTTTCCCACCTGTAAAATGAACTCACAATGCAAGAGTAACTGGGTGAAATTCTAAGGTCTGTGTTATATACAGGAGGTCAGATGAAATGATTGAATCCTCTCTTCTGGCCTTAAAAATCTATGAAAATGCGAATATTACTTGTCTACCTCATAGGGGTAGTGTCCTAATGAGTGAGACAGCTGTAAGGGTTAGTTAATATTTGTAAAGCACATTGAAGTCCTTAAGCAGAAAATGCTATAACGTGCAAAGCCTGTTTTCAAATACAATCCCAAAAACACAATCGCTCACAACCAACGTTTATTTATTATTTGTATTCCAACAGAACCAAGAGGCCCCAACCAAGACTCACTACTAGGCCCTCTACACATACAAGAAGACATTCCTGCCCCAAATAGACAAGTACGAGGAAAAAGACAAGAGATTAAATGATTTGCCCAAGATGACACAGCAAGGCAGTGGGAGAGCCAGGGACAGAATCCAGGTCTCCTGATTCCTAGTTCAGTGCATCTAGACCTCAAATCTCCCTTTTAAGCAATATTCTTCTAGCTGGCAAAGCTGCACCGACAATGACTTCACAATATACCTCAATTTTATCTCTTTCCCTTTGCTTTTTTTTTTTCTTTCCCTTCTTCTCCTCTTCAAAACTGCAGTGAGTATCTTTTGATTTGACCTCTTTTCCACAGGATATAGATTATTCTCCCATAGAGTCTCCTTTTATTTACAATCACATAATTAAACTACATTTATATCAGGGTGGACAAAAATCAATGATTTTTTTTAAATCAAAAACATCAGATTTAAATTGGATTTTTGATACAATGCTTTTTGAGGAAAAAAACCTATCTAAAGATAGTTTTAATTAAGATACATTATAGTTCAAAGATATATCATGGAATAGGGATTATAAATTCATGTAATGTTTAAAAAAAGTTTTGTAAATGAGTTCCAATAGTTCATGGATTAGGGACCCAATTTTATGGGGTGTCAGGGGCTTCTGTATAGATTTAGGTTAATCTTTCTATCTATCCAATGGGACTCAGTGCTCAGTCTAGAAGATAAACATCAGAGATGCTTAGTTCTGCAGTTCTCAAACTGTGGATGTGTGTCTCCAGAGAGAACATGCTTGTTAACAGCAAAAATGTTTTTAAATAATGGCAGCAGGCCGTAAAAGAGACCAGTTTGGGAATTAGAACCATTCAAGAAATATATGTTTGCTGATGTTTTAAAGAAAGTCACACCAGTGAACTGGTGGAGGTCACTTAAGCACTTTGAATCAGAGACTGTTGAAGCGATAATCTCACTTTCTACACCAGCAGAAGCAGCTACTGCTGTTAAAAGAATATTTTCTTCCTTTGGACTAATTCATTACAAATTGAGAAATCATTTGGGACCTGAAAAAGCAAGAAAGCTTGTTTTTCTTTTCCAGATTATCAATAAACAGGAAAATGAAGATGACTGAGTTAGCTGCAGAAGCCCATATTTTAAGTTTCTCATGTTGACCTGGCTGACATAGTCTATTGAATTTTTGTTTTTTAAATTTAATTTAACTATTTTAGTTAAAAATAATTTTAACAAAACAAACCTGATTTTAAAAAACTTTAATGTTTAACTAAATTCAAAAATTCAAATGCTTGTTTTGTTAAAATATTATGTTTGTTGTTGAAGAAAAAAAATCCAGAATACATAATGTGATGTTTTAGTTAAATAAAACAATTTAAATGTCTGTTTGGTGATGTTCTCCTCTTAATACAGCATGGCAGGAAAATCCTCCAAATATTAATGATTAACCTGTTGAATTGGAGATAGTTCACCTCCCAAGGACTTCATAAATATCAGCTTCAATTATCTTTGATAAAATGAATGATTGTTTGGTTATTTCATTTATGATTAGCTGTAAAACTAATCTGGAAAGTTTTCAAAATAAATCACTTTAAAAATGTATAGTGTATACCTTCTAAAAATGAAACCTACATCTATCTCTGAGTTGTGAAGAATATGTATTAAGGTTTTAACAACCAAGAATGCACTTTTATGTAGAAATCCATGATTAAATAGTGTCTTCCTGACTAGTGATTTAAATCAAATCCACCCTGATTTATACAGCACTTTTCTTCCCAAAAAGACTCCAAACACATCACAAACGTAAATTCAGCTACTCCTTGATTCACAGTAACTGATGCATTAGAAAGTGATACCTGCTCAGCAGCAATGCTATACAACTAAATGCTATACAGTTTTAGACAGGAAGCTAAGAGAAATAGTGTAATTACCCGAGGTGGCCTTTGGTAAAAATAGTGTTTACCACCTCTAACTTATGAAAAATGCCAAGAGATTTTAATGAAGCATTTTAAATCTCATGCATGAGACAGCACTGACCACAGCACAGTACTCACAAGTACTCCACTGGAGCAATTACTCAGGACTAACCCAGAAGGATCAGTGCTATGAAACTTTTAGAGTAACAGCCGTGTTAGTCTGTATTCACAAAAAGAAAAGGAGTACTTGTGGCACCTTAGAGACTAACCAATTTATTTGAGCATAAGCTTTCATGAGCTACAGCTCACTTCATCGGAATCCGATGCTCAAATAAATTGGTTAGTCTCTAAGGTGCCACAAGTACTCCTTTTCTTTTTGCTATGAAACTGCCACTCTCTTCCTGCAGCATCCTGGATTTCTTTGGAAGTCTCCTATTCAAGTAATAATCAAGCTAAATCTCACTTATCAGGTTGATGAGAGGGTGTTAATAGACTGTCTCTTTAAAATAGCGTTTGATAACAGCTTGCTGCAAAACCAGCAGATGGAGCTCACAAACTACAGCGATCGCCACATTTCAGGACTACAAGAGAATTCGGCGAGTGTTCTGTAAATACACTTGGATATGTAGCTCAGGCTGAGTTTATCTGGACACCCAGCTAAGTTTTCACCCGGCCAAGCCTTCCTCAGCGGCTACAGACCAAAACAATCACCAAGCAGTGTTGTGGGTCACACCAAGGGCTTGCAAACTGCCAGAAAAAAAATAAAAAGCTGTACCTAATTAACGTAAACCGTAACTTTAGCTACTCTTCTCTTAACACAGGAGCACGGCTCATGGAAACTACGGGCAGGGCTAAAAGCGGGGGGGATGGGGAGGCCGCAAAGGATCACACACACCTGGCACTTTATTTATGTCGGCATTGGTGGGGCTGGGCCGCTGAGGAGGGACACGCCCCAAGCACTTCTTTACCAGCGCCGCTGCTGCTCCTCCCCCATTGTTTTCCTCCAGCTCGCTGTAAGTACTGACCACCTCCAGGGCCCAGCACCGGGGCGCCAACTTCGTGGGCTGCCCTGCGCCGCGGAGAGCCTCGGCCTTGGCCCGCCGGCTGCCCGGGCTCCCCTCAGATCCGTGCCGAGCACGACACGAGGTTTCCTGCCCTCTAGTGACGCTGCGCCCGGCACGCCTGGACGCAGGCCGGGGCTTAGGGTGGCGCGCTCGGGCCCGAGTGCGGAGGGAGGGAGGGAGCCCTGCAGCCCCCGGGACCAGCCCTCCGTGCCCAGGCGAGCGGCGCCCCGGCGGGCTGGGCGTGCGGCCTAGAGGCCGCCGCGGGGCAGCCCGGCTGCAGCCCAAGACGCTGGCCCGCCCGGGGCGGGGAGTCCGGGCTGCAGCAGGCCCCGGCGCCCCGCTGAGGGCGGAGCAGCGCCACACAACGGTGCTGGGCTGCGCGTTACCTCGGCTGGGCGGTGGCGGGGGCCGTGGTCGAGCCACCGCACCACGGCGCCGGGCGCCACCTCCTCCCGCAGCACCAGCTCCAAAACAGCCGCCATCCCCGGCCGCCCGCCGAGCAGGCGCACAACGCACGTCGCGGCGCGCGAACAAGAGCGGCTGCGGCAGGGGGCGGAGGCAGGCCCCGCCTGTCCCCCAAGCGCGGGTCACACCAGCTGTGGGCGGGGCTAGAATGCTGTACCACGTGGGCGAGGACAGCGCCGCTACTCGCCTACCGAGCCTCGGCTAGGGGAGGACTGGGATCAGATTTGCGCCGTGGGGTGTGGTTGTGACGGCGGAAAGGGGCGGGGCTAGAACGCTCAGTGCCCGTGGTGGGCGGGAGCAAGTCGGGCGGACGCGAGTCTCAGCTGGGATTCCCATTCGGGAGCGGCGCGCGCCGGCTCCGCTGCGCGGGGCGGGGCCGCCCTGACACCGGCTCCCGCCCTCTCCCCATGTCAACAAGCGGGGCGCGGGGCGCCTGCGCCGGGGGGTTGCGCGTCCCTCGCTTTCGTGCGCGGCGTTGGTCTGCCGAGCAGGGCCCGGGCTGTGGCCTAGCGGCGGCCGCGCGGCGATCGGGGCGGCCCGCGGGCCCCGCCCGCCGGGGAGGATGATGGCCGAGGACTCGCCCAAGCGGCGCAAAGCCAATTTCAACGAGGCGGAGACCGAGGTGCTGATCGAGCAGGTGCTGAAGCACGAGCAGATGCTGTTCGCAGCGGGGCCGGGCCGCGCCTCCCCGGGCCAGAAGCGGCGGGTCTGGGAGCTGATCCGGCACAAGGTGAACCCGGTGGCCGCCTGCCCCCGCGACGTGGAGGATCTCAAGAAGCGCTGGAGGGATCTGAAGCGGCGCGACCGCAGCAAGCTCTGCCGCCTCTCGCAGGGCTGCGGCCCCGCCGGCCACTCCGGCGGGCTCGGCCTGCTGCTGTGCACGGAGGAGATGCCCCAGCCCGGCCCGCAGCCCGACCACCAGCGCGCCTACGGCTCCGCGCTCGGCCCCGCCGAGGCCGTGCCCATCGTGGGCGGAATCGACACGCTGGATCTGCCCGGAGCCTCCGTGGTGGACCTCGGTGAGCTCCGGGGCTGGTGAGGGGGGAGCGGGCCCCTATGCGCCCCGCGCCCGGTCTCGGCTTCTGCTTCCCCTCCCCGCTGGTCTGGGCCTCCGGCGCGGCGGGAGTCGGCGTTGCCATGGAGCCGGGGAATTAGCCCCGCCAGGTCACTGGAGCAGAAGAGCGGGTCATCCCTCCCGCAGAGGGGCCAGCTCAGCCTCTGTGCAGCGCCCGGAGGGCTCCGTACTGGCGGGCGGGGGCGGCCTTGTGCTTCTTTCCCCCCGTTCGGCGCTGAAAGGGGGCTCCTCTCATCAGCGGGGAGCAGCAGTTTTGGTAAAATGCAGCTTCCTGCCAGGCCCCCCCGCAGTGACCCAGTTCATTCTTGACGATGATTTTTTTGCCCTGTCGGTGACCCGCTGTGACTCCTTCCCCCGCTTTAAGCACTGGTAGATGTTGGTTTGCAGCCTGTCCTTGAGGTGCATTCTGAGAGACAGATTCGGAGCAGCACTGAGCACCCCCCCACACACACACAACTCCTGTTTACTCACATGAGACAGTAGTGTAATGTACAAATGACATAGATGTAAGAGGGACTTACCCCAGGCAGCCTTGGGCTTGAAGCTTCTTGTGCTTGCTTATGCCAGTCTCTGTGCCAGTGAGGCCCTCCTCTTCCAGTGTTTTATGGGCCATGATGTATATCTTGTTTATGTGAAAAATTAATTTACATTATGGGGGATCTTTATTCGTGTTAAGTCTGTGTGTCTCATGTTCATCATATTTAGCTGCAAAGTGCATTGTTAATCTCTGATGTTGCATATACTTATTTACCTGCTTAACTTTATTCCTGTGAGGTGTCCCACTGATTTCAGTGGGAGTACTCTTAATAGTCAAGGTAAGCAATGTAAGGATCAGGGTCTTAAGCAGTATCCGTTTGCCTTCTCATTCTGTGCTTCAAAGAGTAAAGAAACCCTCATAGAACACTATGTGGCCTTATGGTTAGACTGTATAAAGTATCAAGTCACTAGTAATTATAGTTGAGAAGAAAAGAACACAGCATGATTTGAGAAGCAGATCCTTGTCTTCAACAATAAAAGTCTTCACTTACTTGCTGATTCACCAGAGGTCCCAGTTGTGTTCAAGTTAAGGATGCTCTACTGTACAACAAACCCATTTTTTTCAAAATAATTTCTGCTAATGGTGGTTTCCTCCTCACCTAAATCACATAGATGCTCAACTGTTGGCAGGTTTTGCATGATAGGTCGTGAAAAGTGAACAGACATATCGTGGATGTGGGGCATTAGACCCACCTGCACATGTGCAAATTTGGATCATTCCTTCCACTCACAAGAAAGCATTCCACCATGCAAATTCCAGCCTTTGTAAACTGCAGCCAATGGGTAAATTACACCCTGTTGTGCATGGGTCTGCAAGGTATGAGCTTTAGTGCAATGAATCTTACTTCAGGCAAGGAGGAGCAATTCAGATAGGATGTCACTTATTTCTGCCTTGCAGATACTGGGTTTCTTGTGCTGAGCTGGGAGAAAGGAAAATAAGAGCTTGGAATGAACTTAATCTCTTCTGTAGCAAATGCTTTTGGCTGGTCTATTGGGGAGTGAGTGATTTTAATCTGAGATTTGCATCGCTCAGTTATGTCATTTACAGTGAGCATGTTTCAATATTTTTTTCTACTAAAGGAGATATCTATGCTACAAGTGTAGGGGATAATACAGTACAAGTCATCATTATAGGGTCTTGACAGCAGAAGTATTAACTACCACGTAAATGCCAATCGTGCTCACTGGGCAGGCAGAGGTTTGAGTGACCACAGAGATAATGAAGTCTGTTGACTCCTGTTTCTGTTTTTTTTTTTTTTCCCCTCCTCTCTGCCCTTTTAGGGTTTACAGATGATCCTGGTCCATCCCACCAACCCTGTTTTGAGAAGATGAACTTAAAAGAGGAAATAGTAGTGAAGGTAGTGGAGCCAGAAGAAAGTTCTGAGGACATGGCTGTGGTTCCACCTAGCCAGGAGCAACTGCCCTTTCTGGGAACAGCTGGGAGTGGTTTGTCTGGGAAAGTAAAAGCCAAAACAAAAGGCCGGTCTCAGACAGACCAAAATGAAATTACGGAAGAGGACCTAATGCAGATCCAGCAGAACCAGATGCAGGTGATCCAGTCTGGCTTTGACAGTGTCAACCACAACCTTCGGCTGCTGCAGCAAGGCATGCAAGATCTCAGCAACAGCCTCAGTATTATGGCACACACATTGGTGGCTATCAAAAATGTTTATGTGAAAAACAACACTGGCCCAACCACCTATGCCACCACCTCTACTCAGACCACAGCAGGGTACCTGAGTCCTGGGTCTCCCCAGATCTCCCCAGCTGAGGACAGAGGCAGAGCACAGGTGGCTGGCAGTAGCAGCAGAAGCAGTAGCTGCAGTTCCAGCTCTATGTCTCAAGAACCAGGCCCTTCGGAATTTCCTAGACCACCCCTGAGAACCATTAAGAAAGAACATCCAAATGGCTGCTACTATTTCTGTTTTGCAGATGTGTAAAACTTGAATATATGTAAAGTGACTGATGTTAGCGGTACTGTTGTATGCTCTGCTCCAGCCTCTGACTATAATGGAGCAAATTGGACTTGCCTCCTGCTTTTTTTTCCCCAGTGGGGAAAGTTTCACATTAGGTGGCATTTGACACTAACTACCAATCTCCAATTTGTTAACACTAACTGTTGCAGTTGGTTAATGTCTCTCTTCTGTTTTCTTCACCGTCTTCTTTCAAAAAAAAAAATCAAATTTATTTTGACTAAGACTCTTGTCTGTATCCTCTTTGGGTTAATGTGACTTTTTGAACATAAAAGGTATGATGGAGTAGGGTAATGTTACAGTTATTGAATAACAGAAGCAGAATCTGTTAGTTACACAAGTTGTGTATTTTTTTAAAACCAAACTGTAAAAATAGCTTACTTTAAATTTAGTATCTGCTATTTTTATTGTATTTTAAAAAAGACTTTAAAAAAAAAATCTGGTCTGTGCAAGGTATCCCAAGAGTTTGGCAACTTTACCTCCTCAGGGGATGGGATAGAACTAGGCCACAGAGCCACTGATCCATGAATGTGCTGCTCAGATTTCATCCAGCATTGATCCATCTGGTCACTGTTTAGTTCCAGCTCTTCAGATGCAGAAGCATTTTGCTTAACTGCAATGAAAGTGGAGGGTGTTATTTGTCACATAATTTTTTAAAAAGAGAAATATAGCAAAAAAATTCATTTCTGGTGAATGATGCCGGCTCTCAATATGGAACAATCTTTGCTGGTATAGCTTAGCACCAGGTTCTGTCTTCAACAGAGCCAGCATGCTTTCTGGGGACAAATGTCACACCATTTGAAAGAGGTAGAAGAGAAACCCATGTCCTATATTGTCCAGAACTGACAGACTTGCTACTCAGTATACTAGTTAGGGTTTGGCTTAGCCTGGGGCAGAGCAAGTTCTCTCTCCTGGCTCTTGAAAGAGTTCATGTGCTGGGCCTCTGTTTGGGTGGAAGTGTTAGAAGATCTTCCATTCCTTATCATGATTTATATCATAGCACTTAGGAACCCCAGTCATGGATCAGGACCACATTGTGCTGGGAACTTTACAAACATGGAAGAAAAAGATAGTTCCATACTACATCCTGAAGGAAGAGAGGATGGGAGCAAGGAGAGTCTGAGGAGAAAACAATTCCTAAATGCCACCCCTGGAGAAAATAAGAGCCAAGGAGAACCATTACTTCTCCTGCTAGAAAGAACAAAAGTCTGATTTTTGCATTGCGACTTGTATGTATGCCTGCTCTGTACAGATACCCACAGAGTCCAGCTCCCCCTCTCCTAGCTAAGAAACCATGTGGCTTTGTTAAGTAAGACATCATTTTTACCATCAGTTGTGACAGCAGTACTGCACTTTAAGGAGATGATGAAGCCCTTTGCTTCAAACTGTGATAAAACTGAGGGGATATCAACAGCTTTCAGCAGTTGGGAGTGGTGCAAGGATTTTTTCTCAGGGCCCCAAAATAGCATCCCCTTATTACAGCCTGTGAAACTGCTGCCTGAAGTTGAGCAAATCTCAGTCGCATAGCCTGTACAGAGTCTCCACAACCAGCATTTGGGACTGACTGTGTAGAAAAGGGCCTGACTATGTTGAGAGCTCTGTGATTCTAGCTGGCAGCTCCTCAGGTATTGCTGAAGAACGAATCAAACAAATTATCCAGACGACTGAAAGAAAATATCTGAAAAATTAAAAATTGGCAAGAGCATACAGTGTCAAATTTAAAAACTCCCAGAGACATTTTTTCCAGCTAGTATTATACACAATGGGGGGGAACTTAGCTAACCCTCTGTCCCCCACAATAGTTACTGTTGGCAGTTACATCACTTCCTACAGCAGAAAGAAAGAAACCAAAGGTTGAGACAAGGATGGCCTGTTACCTGGCACCAGCACAAACACATATCCTGTCTGCTGGTGCCAGAGTTGAAGTAGTTTAGACTTTGGAGCTTAGGTGTGTTCTATCAGTGTTACATGCAAGGATCACAAATGCAAAAGTAGGGTTCTTTTGTCATCACCTTTGGAAACTATTGCGTAACTTTCTCCAGCTCATTAGTTTCCCTTTACTTCTGATGAAAAGATTCCCTTTTATTCTCCTTTATATTAACTTCAGTGCCTGTATACGTTTTTTTTAATCTGGCAGCTGCTGGCTAATTAAAAACAAACCTGCAGTAGTAATATTGCTGGTGTGTGTTCTTCCTCACTGCCCTGGTCCATGTACCGTGTGCAAGATTATACTGCAACCCAAGCATACGGCACATCGACAATGCGGGTTAATACAGGCTAGGCACCTTCTTCGAAGTGATAGTCTGGCTTCTGAGAAGTTTTACTTCACAAAAGCGGTTGCTGCAGGTGATAGGTACAACTATTTTACTAATCATTTACCAGGTTTTCTTAAACTGACCCACTCCAAAACTAGTTTCTGAGTCCTGTGATATTAAAAGCTTCCTATTGCTTGGGAATAGCATAGGATTCCTGTTTGCCTGATGTGCACATATTAACATGGTGGGAGTTCGTATATTCAGATTCCACTCATTGAGATGTGGGCTTCATCTAGTTGTATTTCCTTTAACTGAAACGTAGCCTTCGCCTCTGTTCTGTTCTTGTAGGACAAGTAGTGATTAATGCTTCTGTAACATTCCAGTTAGCTTAGTGAAATGTTGTGCTCTAACGCTCACCTAATCATCCTGGGCAGTGACTGCCAACTTGTCCAGACTACAGCAGCCACTTCTTTCAAGGCCATTTCTCCAATTGTTGAATTGCTGCATTTGCCCTGTGGCAACATTGCTTGGTAGGGCCTAGCTTGAGTCTCTATCACACTGAAGTTTAAGTCCCTGCTAAGAGCAATTGGATTTTTCAATTCAGAAGCAGTTAATGTTTGTAGGTCAAGTGCTGTGGAACTCCTGAGACTCTAGGAACAGTAGGTGGACAAGTACCTCCACTGTGATCGTGAACAAGGCATACTGAGAGACACTATAGTAGTTGTGTCATTTACTTACATTAATCAGGAGTCAGATTAAGACAAAACTCCTTCACTTGTGATATGATCCACTTTTAAACCAAGTTTAGAGCAGTGAAAGATCTATACATTGGCTCCAGTACAGAGTGTATAGAATAGCTATTTTGACCCCCACCATCATATGCCTAAGCAGTCATTCCTTTATGTGCTCAACTGATCTACTGACACAGAACATCCAAGATGAAAGCTCTCCCTCCTGAAGCACGCCACTGAATTCCTTCCTGCTTTTAAACCAAGACATCATCATTTTCTGGGATTATTACTGTGTAAATGAGTTCTGGATTTATGCTTCCTATTGTGTGAAGTGACTTGAAATTATCTACATAAAAGAAAATAGGTGAGGGCCTGGTTCCAGCTACTGTGGAAGCCAGTGGAGTATTGCTATTGACTTTAATGGGGTCAGGACTGGGCCCTTAATTTGTGTTACCATTACCTAGCATGGCACTTGCATAGCACACGTAGGTGGTGCTATAGCTGTAATAGCGTTGATGGACTTTTTCCCTGCTGCTGTGGACTTCACCAAAAATATTCCATTTTGCCATGTAACAGACCAGACAATATTTTCGACAGCATATAGGGAATGAGAAATGCATGTATGTTCCTGGCAAATATAATCTCTGAAGGGGATTAAGCCTATCTATATCTGTTGTTTTATCAGAGAGATATGAAAGGGGGAAAATCTTCTCTGAATAACAGAAGTAACATTGATCAGACCAACCAGTGACCGAGTAACACTGTTACTGAAAATTGTCTGGTTTCTATAACAGCCTTACTTCTTACACTTCCCTAATTGCTGCAGCTCAGATATATTGTTCACAAATGAGGCTGGTCTCCTGATGGGGCTGCAAGGCCAGTAACAGCCAGGACCATTTTACGGAGAATAATCGCCATCACTCTATGAAGACACTGACTACAGAGACCTTTCTGACTGGAGGGAAGGTACCCAAGGAGACTGTTGGTTTCTCAGGGTATGTCTACACATAAACTACTGTAGCGCTTCAATGAAGACACTACCTACAGTGATGGGAGGAGTTCTGGTGGCATAGGTAATCCCTCTCCCTGAGAGGCAGTAGCTAGGTTAATGGAAGAATTCTCCTATCAGCCTAGCACCGTCTACACTGGGGGTTAGGTCGGTTTAACTGTGTCGTCCAGGGGTGTGGATTTTTCACACCTCTGAATGACGTAGTTATACTGACCTAACTTCCTAGTGTAGACCAGGCCGCAGAATGACAAGATTTGGAATCTGCCAGATTCTTACTACACTGAACTTGACCTGTAGCAGAATCATTGCTTGGTTGGATGGGAAGGAGTGGGGCAAGAAATAGAGCAAAGCTAAAGTGTCTACCCTTTCTACAGTAATACAGAGTATGAGGCTGCTGAATCAGTAGGAGCTCTTTGATTCAACCACTCCAGTATGCAACATGAACATCTCACTGTTGCTTGCTCTGGTGCCAACACAATTCCACGGTGTACTTTTTATGTAACAAAAAAGTACAGTATGTCATAACACAATTGGTGCTGCTTCTCTCCATTTATAAGTTCAGAATTACAACAGTCAAGAAATAGGCTATAAAAATAATTGGTTAGGAGCTTTATAAACAGTAAACTCATCATTCATAGGCAGTCAAGGATTGCAGTTTTGCATGCTGAATGAATATTTTATTTAGAACCAGTTTATAAAAATAAAATACAAAATAATTTGAAAACAGAACATAAAACATTGTACAAAGCCTTGATATGGTACAAATGGAAAAAAAATAAATAATTACACCTTTATATACAAATGACCATTACAAGGGCATTAGTTCTTCTGCAACAGCTTATGTTCTTGGATGCCTGAGCAAAAAGAAAAAAATGGCTTACAAGATTTCATTGTGCGGGGAGAGGGAAACAAGTACAGGGCAAGAGAGTCTGGAGGACTCACAATGGTAATTAATAAGCTCTGGGAAAAATGTAAATGAATTATACCATAGATTTTAATCTTGAGTTGTTAAATGTCTTCTTATTGGATTCACTGAACATTCTATCTTTCGTTGATTTACAGATTTTCATTTCTTTGTGGTATTGCCCCAAGATTTTAGGTTAGCAGTCAACTGTTCACAGATTGAAAAGTTTACTACTTGTCTCTAAGAATTGCTGGTGATTTCCTTAATTTATTGGACTGGATACTTGTAGGAAAGCAGTTGAAAATCAGTTGCTGCCAGCGCCAGCATAACAACTTGTGTATGGGCTAATTCAAGGTGAAAATCAGAAGTCAGAGGAAGACTTTGGAACCTTGCTCTCTGGCCAGGGAAGGTAGTATGAATACAGGGAAGAGTTTCCAAGCAACCTACTTCTGGGATTCTGTCAGGCAGGTGTGAAATAGCTTTTTTTAAAAAGACCGACTTCCCCAGTGTCAAATTATCATGACCTTGCTCTGCTGTGCAGTAGATAGGAGTTTATAAGGACTCCCATTCTCCATACACGGGAAGACAAGACCCATCAACATTGTATCTTTGGGGAAGATACAAACTGTCCTGCTGTTAGAGCACCCTATACACTGGCCAGTTCACAGATGAACTGATCCTGAAAGGAGGCTAACACCTGCAATTTCCACTGGAGGTAGTTAAATTCCTTTTGAGAATTGTGCGTGGTCAACACCTCTTATGGGCAGCCTGTTTATGATATTTCTTTAGAGACCATGGGCTCTGCAGCCCTGGTCACAGCAGTTGCTATAATAAATGAGGATGGGGCATAGGTCTGCACGGTGGCCACAACACATTCATTTTCCAAATAAAATAACCAGTAACTGTAAATATCCTCACAGTGGGCCCATTGCTTCAGTCCATACACAGACAAAACCTCCACTGACTTCAATGAGAGAGTTTCACTTGCATGCAAATGGCTGGACCAGCCCAAGATCTAAGTTACCCATATGCAGGAGGAATGAAAGTAGTAGACAGTAAAACTTATAGATCATATAAGCCAACATTTGCACTGGATAAGGATATTGCTGAAGGCCTAACAAGCAAACATCGGAATCAATATATACTCATTTGAAGATAAGCAGGGTTTCTTTATTTCAGCATTTCAGTTAAAGCCTTTGTTATATTCAAGCTCAAGTTTTGCACTGCACAGTCTCTAGCACTAATGAGAGATGGACCCTGAACCAAAACAGAGGCTCCAGATATCATGCATCTTTGAGAACATTCAGTTCAATATCTGAGCCTTGCAGTTCAGAACAATCTCTTGTGCTAGCTTTATGCATCAGCCACATATTAATTTCTGAATATAATTTCCCCTCAATGAACAACTTTTGCAAAGGGAGAAAGTCATTCCCATGATTATCTGGCATGCGTGCTGAGCATCTTGGAAAGTGACTAGCTAACAAAAACAGCATATACTATACAGGAAAGATTGCAAGTACTAGAGGTTTGTCATTTGTTACTCTGAAGAGACACTATTAGTGACAATGGATGGAATGAAAGTCAAAATATAAATTAAAACTTGAATGAAGTAGCCACTAAGTTAACATACTGTACCTAGAGATAATAAACTTCTATATATTTTTGTCTTAAAGGAAGATCTGACTCAATATTAAAATAAAGACAGATGATTTAAAACCTGCTGTGACTGTGATTATACAGACTCCTCTGCTTTAGACAGCATGCTACAGTAAACCCAGGTAGTACGAGTCATTACACAATCCAATCTTCCCCTTATTTCATTTATTTTTCCCAAAGAGATTTGTGTGTTTGTGTTTCAGGGGAAGGGGAGTTCAGGTGGGAGGCCAGAAAAGTACAGATTGGGTGTTTATGTATATTGTGGTAACTTAGGTATACCTTAAGATTCATTTGTTCACTGTCTAGTTTCCTTGCATTTGCACCAAAGAGATACATGAAAGGATTAGGCATTATACTAAAAGTTACAGTAACAGTAAGGGCCATCCATAGCTTTTAACAGTTAAACACAGGGGACATGGTTAAGTACTACAGCTTTTGTCAATATAGTAACCAGGTCCTCTGACTGTGTAACAGTGAAAGCATAGTTGAACCAAAAGACATTTGGAATGATAGTGTGTACTTATGAGCCTAATCCTGCAAGTTGCTGAGCACCCTCAACTCTAATAGAAGTCAACAGGAGTTGAGAGCATTCAGCACTTCACAGGATCAGGCCCATAAGAAAGCAAATTGTTATTTTATACCCGAGTGACTAGAAATCAATTGGACTGTGATTGCTACTCATTCCTCCCATTCATTTTGGAAGGTTCATTTTGTCACCAAAATGAAATGTGCAAAAATATTTTAGGTGAAACAAAAAGAAAAAAATACACATCAAACAGTATTGGGAGGCATGCACCAGTTCTTTGCCACTAACTCACTTTTAAGAAATTGAAATAATTACCCTCTGGCAGCTCTTCATTCTCATGTTGATGTTGCTACAAGAATTCATATCCTTTAGCGTCCTGAGGAAAAGGTCGCTTGCTGACAGACAGGGAGACAGTAGCGTAAGACAGACATTGCCTAAGTTCTACTTTAGGGAGGGAGAGAAGAACGTGGTTTATAGTACATTACAGTTCAGCCACTGCCACAAATGCTACTGCACTTATAGGGAGCATGGGCATTTTGCCCAAATTAGGACTGTAGGATTATGCCCATGATTTGGAAGGGGGCCGGTGCGGCAATTAGCCAGGGATAAGTACGGGTAGTTCAAGGAGGAGGTCAAACTAAATGAAAGTACAGTAGGCCTCAGCTAGTTCTTGCAGCTGAATTCTAACCAAGAGGAGGCAATAGCTAAGGTAGTTCCCACACACTTTTATCCAAAAAAATAGAAGGTGAATGGAACTACTTTTAAAGACCAGCTTCAGCGTTTCCCTTGCTATAATTAATGATCACAAATACCCCAGCAATGCATGGAATAGAGCTCTCAGAACTCAGGCCTTAAAAGATGAAAAGTCCGTCAGCCCACTTTTAAACATATAAGACAAGATACAGCCCTGTGCTTCATGAGTATTCTGTGAGGTGAGGGCGTAGGGAGCTTGTTTCTCACCCGTGCAAACATCAAGACAGGATTTTGCCTTGTAGTTCCCAGAGAGGATATGGTTGCTGTCTACAGGGAATGCCCCGCCCCACCACCCTCACCCAGCCAGCTAATATATATACAGGTAGCTGGGGCTAAGTATGGCTCCTTTTTTAGGGCAGTAGCACAGTGCACCTAGCAGCATATTACCTATGCCCACCCTGAGCCACCCTGCCCTGCTCTAGTGGCAGATGTATGCTTAGCATCCTTCTCTCTGCTAGCTCCTGCATGTCACATAACTCATTAAGTCTGGGGCAGGATTTTGCCTACAGTTAATCAAACAAGCTGTCAGTGCACCATGAAAAGGTTTTGCCAATATTAAGATACATTTTTAAAAACTACAAACTAAGCACACTGTACCTTGCAAAATAGCACCACAAAAATCTGTTATTTAGAAGTAAAATATTAAATGCTGGATTTTATTTCATTTAATACATTTAGGGATCCGTACTGACAGCAGTGCAAAAATGCTCTGGAGGGCTTGGCAGTCATAAAGGCCGGGGGAAATTCTGCCCCTTCCCCAACTTCTCCAACCTGGCCACAAAAGACCCCTGAAAACAGTGGAACTGCCACAGTTTCAGAATACATGGAGGATACTGAAGAGGAACTGTGCAGGAGGAATCTGAAAGCCCTGTATGGTCTTAGCTGCATGGCAGTTCTCTCCACAGAAATGGAGATTGGGATTGAAGGATGGTATAGCCAGTGGGTCCACGAACTAACCTTCGTGTTAAGGGGACGCTACTGCAAACTGTGCAGAATGGCTGCAGCTGCTCTGGGGAAGATTCTCCCTATTCTAAGCACGGCAGAGGTTCCCTGCAGAAAGCCATTTACTTAGACTTTACACAGGCCATTGTCCTTTAGTGTTTTAAACAACTGGAATTAAATGTATAATTATTTATATATTTACATTGTTGGGATTTATTCTTTATAGGGTCACTGATGATGATAGAGGCCCTTCTAGAAATATTACAAGGATGACAATTACACAGGGCTTGATTACCATAGAGTTACATTTGCTGATAGTTTAGTTCATAATACTCAATTTTGTTACCTTCACGGGGAAGGAATTATATAACCAACAAAGTAAAGTGGGAAGAAGAGTACAAGAGAGGCTATAATCTTGATCAATCCATAAATGTAAAGCTGCTTCTATCAGTAACTCAGTAGTTTTCTAACCAGATACAAAATCTGTTTGAGTCACCGAAATCCGCAGCCACCACCAGGGACATAAAGTTATTTTACCCTGCATTGCACTGAAAATGCCAAAAGCACCATCCTCTGCTTTGAGCTTTCCCCCATTCTGATGTAGTTCCTCTCTTTATATTGGCAAGAAGTGCAAATAGTAATGTATTTCTACAAGATCAATATTCTCAGTTTTATTCACCATTACGTAATATTGCACAATATGGATATATTTTAGTCTCTGGCAGAGAGAAGGAAAATATCTTGAGTTTTATGTCTCCCCTCACCTGTAAAACAAACTATTCTTACAATAACAGTGATTACCTGTTTCTGGATCCTGCTATATCAGGGAGAAAATGTAAATACCTTATTTTCAATATTTCAGGGGAAGGGCACACAGCCCAAACCTGCCCCCATTAAAGTTAATGCCAAAACTCCCACAGATCTCACTGATATAGGACTTAACTCAAAGACCAAAGAGAATGCTCCTCAGAAAATTGAGAATGAAAAATTATCATAAGCTGCCACACTGCCTTAAGAGACAGTATCAGCAGAGCCTTGAGGAGAGAGGTCTACAATGGGATCCAACTCTCGATAGTGTATACTGCAAGGTGACAGGTAAGGAAATCGAAAAGGAAAAGATGGGGTTTTATTTTTTTTTTTTGTCATAGTCATCTATTAGGTATTCATTAACTGTGACTGCTCCTGTATCATGAGCAATGTTGCAGCTTAAAAATGCACATTGTGAAATGAAAAAACAGTTATTAAAAATCCTATCTTATAATCAAAGATACAGTACTTCTGAGTCTGTGCTCCTGTTTCACACGCAAACAGACACACACACAAAACTATAAATTAAAGGAAAAGGCTGAGACACAAAACACTGGCTTGCTGACAAATCACCAACCCTTCAGCCCTGTACTGAGGCATGAAGGCTATTTGACTTTGTGGATGCCAGGAAACTATTTTCAGGAAATGAGAGATGTAACGCCAAGAGTATTCAGATACGCAACAGAAAAAGAACTGCATCGTCTGTGGTCCATAAATTACAAATGGAGAATGAGAAAGAGTAAGTGAATTTATATAAGCATATGTATATATATATATTTATAAATATTTATATTATATAATTTACCATGAGGACATGCAATCATTAGTATAGTACCTATTATACAATATAATACAAAGAAAAAAGCCTTTCCAATAATATAGTTTCTTCAGAAACAGCAGGTATGCCCTACCTATTGCATTCCACTGCAGTGCTTGAAACCTGAATGAAACTAAGGTTCCACACTGTGCTACATTACTTATGGAAAACAGTATACACAGGAGGAAAAAGAAAATCCCAATACACTATGACAGCACAAGTGAAATTCAGTGCAGCTCCAGGGCAGCTGTGATGCAGCATTAGAAATGTGTTAGCTCAGAGAGAAAATATTTCCTTTTCAATCCAAAGGTACTAGTTTGGCAGCAAACAGAGGTTAAATAAAAAGCACAGATGCTGGCTAGAAAGGCATATGACTACAGCAAGCAGATCAGTAACTGACAGTGCTTCCACACATCCAGCACCGCTAGGACAGGTAGCATTAGGGATGCTAGTGTATCCCTTTCAGACTTGTACTCCTGTGTTTTAAACTATTCTGATCCACTCTCCATTTCTGAACATAGTAAAGGCTACCATACCCCTAAAGTGTCCTACAATGATCCTCTACAGCATATTAAGTGAGTACTAAAGGAAACTGTTTGGGGAAAATAGGCACCATGGACTTTATTCACAGAGAAGGGGTCTGGCTTCCCTAAGAGACATTAGGGCAAAAGGGAAGACAAAAATCCAAACAGGGAAGTTGTCTGAGATTTGTTTTCCTTCTGGTTATATTGCCAAATATTCTCATTCAGATTCTGTAGGAAATGGAAGTGAAGGCCTTTATTCCTCTTGTCTATAACCTAGCAAGTGTACAGGCTCTGCACTCACCTTTCAGCACTGAGAATACACATACAGTTCATCTTCTAGACTTAAGCTAAATTCCAAGGTAAAAAACGAATCTGAGTTTGTAGTTCTCTCTACTCCTTCTCAGTATTGCCATCTTGGATTTAATGTCAAGACAGCAACATTGTGAATAAGGTCAACAAGGATTTAAGTGGTCCATAACCAATGGGAAAATGATAGTTGTAACAAAGGCTCTCTTTTGCACTCAGACAGACTTTCAGACAAACAGTTTACATACTTCTGACCAAATACACACAGCAGTATATGGTAAGTCTGCAACAACCCTCCGCCTGAAGACTCTTCCTTCTTTCTCCCATAACTCAGATTGGAATGACTGTCTCCAGAATATACATAATACAGGCCCGGAGAGGAGAACCATGGACCCAGAAGGAAAAAAGCAACATGACCGATGTTTAAAGGTTCTTGGATACTAACAAAAGACAAATGCCCTGCAAAATATCACTATAAAAACTCAGAAAATGTTAAAACTTATTTTTAAAATGTCATCAGTATATAGAACAGGTAAAGTGAGTAATTTTTTTTTTAAGTAGGGGAATCTGTACCATTGGGGCGGGGGGGGGGGGGGGGAGAGATGGACACCGAATGACTCAGAAAGAGATGTGCACAGCCTGACACTGAAAAGACTCACAAATTAAAAATATTATCTTCCAAATAATGTGCTTATTTAAAATTCTACAAATAAATGCCTGAGCCGTACCTATTTCAGAGGTGGTGGTGTCATTGTGGAAATAAAAACAGATGTTTCAGGTTCTATTACATTTCTTTGAGAAAGGCCTTAAATAATTAGGCTGAATCTCCTAAGTATACAACATAAAAACAATAAATAAATAAAAAACCCTATTAGAATACTCACTTCAGAGATAATTTTAACTTCAAATGTTCCACACATCTTTGACTGTCCTTCTCTGACCTCTACCACCCTCCCTGATCTGCTTGCTGCCTGTCATTAGGCAATGCCTGGCCACTCATTTACACACTATGAATTGTCAAATAATTTATCATATGTTTACTTTCTTTTGAAAGCAAGGACTCAACACTGATTTTTTTGGTTTTTTGTTTGTTTGTTTTTTGTTTAAATAGACAATACACAGACACAACATGCATCAAATTACGAGAAGGCTTTTACACCTGTCAAGGCTCAGTTCCTATCTGCTAAGTTTACTAGCCGATTTGCTCTTTCCTGTGGGGGTTTTAGTGTTTGGGGAGTGGTGGCAGGAGCAGTTGGATCCTTTCAGACCGTTCTTGCTTGGTTTGCTGCAGAAGTGCTCTTGTTGGCAGGACCTCCTAGAGGATGAGGAGCCTGAATGGCTAGGAGGTGATTTACTCCTCCCAAGGTGTGGGGATGAACTCTTCTGGTCATGGTGGGGCCGTCCAGCCCGGGATGGTGAAGAACTGGCTGTACGGGGTAAGGAAGAGCTCCTAGGGGAGGCACTGGGGCTGCGTCGAGGGATGACAGGGCTTTTGGGTGGCGTTTTTGGGCTATGTGGTGATCCTGGACTTTTACACTGGGTGGAGCTCCTTGGTTTTTGAGATCCATTCTGAAGGATTTGAGCCAGACGAGAGATAAGGTCTGAGTCTGAGTTGCTGCTCCCTAGAACTCTGTACCTGCGTAATCTTAAAAAGAAATGAAGAGAGATTATTTCCACCATTTTATTGTGCTTTATCCATTACAATGAATATACACAAACATAATGTAAATGGAAACTAGAGATGGGCCTTAGCTGCAGAGTTCACATCTGGATCTGAACTTACCTAAAATTCAGAGGCATCTGGATGTAGGGTTTTGGTTTGTGTCCAGTTCAAATGGATACAGTATCCATGTTTGTGTAACCCCCAACACATAACAAAAATGTCTTTATAAGTACTAGACAGAGGTGTCAAAGTGCATACAGGCATACTTATTTTTCTAATAATACGGGAAGGAGCATACTGAAGGGCGGTGCTTATTAGCTCCTTTTTTGGAGCGGTAGCATACACTCCCTGTCTACCCACTGTGACTGCAGTCTGTCAGTGTGGAAGAGGGCAAAGCCATCCCCCTACAACTTCCTTCAGAGAATACTGAATCACTGTTGACACCTACACTCCCCTTATACTTGTAGTCTACTTATACACAGAACAGGATTATGGCTGCCCATGCATAGATGTCCAGGGGTGAAGTAGAGCTTTTGAAGGCCTCTCTGTGCTCCTTTTCATTCCTGTGCATAATCAGTCATGATCTGATCCTAACCAATTATGTCTAATATTGTTCATCAAAATTTTCAAACTGTTAGACTTCTAAATAAGAGTACTTTGGTAATGGGTTTTGTTGAGTATTCAGCACTTCTGAGAATCAGGTAATTTTTATTTAAGTATCTAAATATAGCTTTTACTTTAGGAACCCAGGTTTGAAAATTCTGGCTCTTTGTATCTGTTGGAGAGTTCACTGGAAGGCTGTCACATCCTTCTGTAACACTTCAAGATATTATTAATATCTAACTGATGTTTTAAAGCTAAAGCTTTTTTTAAAAAACAGTTAAGATATTTCTCAAATGCTTTTCTGTGGTCAGATCACTCAAATCCAGGATTTTTAAAAAGAAATCGGTTTACAAATGACAGAAGTTTTGGACAATCACACCATGCATATTCTCACAATACTCTTTGCAAGCTAGCTCAAAGCTATTTTAAAATAAAATACGTATTTCTAGTTTGTCTGTATTACCTGGCTTCTACCCCAGGCCTAGTTGGTGGTTTTCCTGGGGGTGGACGAGGAAAGAATTGAGCTGAGGTTGAACTGGTGACTTGATCAGTTGTAGCCCAGGATACTGGCCTTGGAATCTTGCTCTTTCTGGACTGAGAACTATTTGGTGACAAAGAGCCATCCTCAGATTGTTTGCCCACATGAGAGTCCAGTGTCAATTTGGAAAAGGCAGATAAGACGTCATCCTCTGAAAACGGTACAGGAGCAGCAACCACTTTTTCCTCCAGTGACTTGTCAGAGGCACTGGAGAGATCACCAAGGAAAGACTTGAGCTGTCTCTTTTCCACGAGTAGCCTGACCAAATCTGTCTGATGGGCCTTCTTTAGGAGAAGCTTTTCCTTTGCTGAAACAGGAGAAGTGGACTCTGATGTCAAGTCTATTTCTTGTGCTAAAACTGGTATGCGACTTTGTCTGACTACAAAAGGTGACTTAACCAAGTCTTTCTTAGACTGATGAGAACTCTCATTCTCGGAAATACAATGGAACAGCTCTCCATTTCTGGGGGCATTTTTTTCTCTTTTGCCCTCCCGGTGAAAAAATGAAGTAAGGTCCATCTGGTGGCATTCCAAGTCTTCACTATGATCAATTTCTTCATTATCATGGAAACCATTTTCCTGCACTATTACTATTTGACTTTCCTGTCTATCATCAAAAAGGTCTATGACTCTTGATGGTGAAACCTCTGATGTCTCAGCTACTGCTGACTTCAGTACCTCATAGTTTGCATCTGAATTTGGCACCAGGCAGGAAGTCCTTGGCTGTGATTCATCCGCAGATTCAATAGTAGCTGGAGGTTTTCCTTCCACAAATTTTGAGCTCCCTTGGGGAGAAGAACTCTGCCCTTTGTGAGACATTTTTATGGCATCCTCAGAAACCACTGGAAGCCTTCCTTCTTCAGTTTCTAGAGCGAGATTTCCAGGTTCTTTTTCTTCCTCCCTACTGCTACATTGTTCAAATAGGTCCTTTTGGCCACAGTCTACGAGTCTGTCACATTCTTTGACGTGCCCTTCCCTATCAAGCACCTCATGGCTGATATGATTTAACTGAAGTACCAGATCTGTTCTGCTGGTACTAGTGGGAAGTGCATCCTCTGTCACTACCAATCCAGGCAAATTCTCCTTCGGAGAGGAAAATTCCACAGTGTGTTCCATAGGATGAGTGTCTCTATCCCTCTTCTCTAGCTGGTGGCCACAACGAAAGCTCTCAGAGGCAGACTGGGTGGATGCTACTGATGGTCTGGGTATTGTTATCTATATTGAAAAATTAAAGAAAAAATTAAAGAAGATAGGAATATCATCTTATACAGATGATATTCTTTAAAATGCAGACTTGATACTGTATGTTCAAAGTGTTATTCTTCCCATCAATCATTATGGTCATATTGGAAAAGTAACAGCTAATTTCATAAATGACATTTGATTTACAGAACTAGAAAATAAAATACTCTACCATCCTGGGACAGAATGTATGGCATGTGAAAACAAGCATTATCTCTGCTGAAAAGGTTACATTCACCAAGAACCCTGCTGGAGAACAGAGCCAGCCTAAGGACTAAACTAAGTTTTGTTTGTTATTTTTATACAATTTTGCATATTTTTATAAAAGTTTTACACATTGAATTTCATAGTAAAAAGTAATCCTTTATAAGCTATACTATAAAAATTACAAGACCCTGCAGTCTTGTAATTCCACCCAGGGATGGAAGATGATTAATAGTATTTCATAGGCTAGGATTAAAGAAGTGAGATTTTTGGTCAAGGCAGCAGATAGTTCCCACTGAGTCACCATGGTGTATAGACCTATAGTCAGAGCTTGTAATATTCATCAGCAGTGGAAATGATTATGGAATGTGAGTCCGGCCACAAAAGCCTCCTGGATTCCCCTCTGCTGGAAGATGAGGCTGATGACAGTTGCCATGGAATCTGCAATTTTATATCATAGACCTCACTGGCACTTGCTGCAGAAATAGTCTGAAAGTGCTGGAGAGCTCAAAGGGCATACTTTTAGCATAATTAGCATAGTGACACCATTGGATGTTAAAATCAAACTCACCCATTAGGTCCCAGGAACACATTTTGCAGTCAATACTGGTGGTATTCAATCTACTTCCATAAAAACAAGCAAACTGGGATTTGATAGTGACATGCACCCTGTTGGGGAATCTGAATTCAACAGCTGCATGGAGACTCTCACTCCTTTTGTACATCCTTTTAATAGTCCCATGCAACAAACATCCATTATTATAGGGTCAAACTTACCTTCATCAAACACAAACATCCAACTGATGTTGTAAATTTATTCACAGGAAAAATATGAAACATTAGCCATGCTGCATCATGATACTGAAGTTACAGAAATTAATGTTATTTATGTTAATGAAATTATTGCCACATCATACTGAGATTTATTACACTGATTTTCTAATGTGCCTCACTTTGGGGTCTTTGTTCCATATTTGGGCTTGAGGCTGGGTTGGGCAAGCTAGAAATACGAGGTCTGGCTCGCAATGTGGTTTTTATACACCACTGGGTAGCTGGTCTCAGAGTAGCAGTGATTTGCAAAGCAGGTTCTCTGTAGTTCCACAGACAGCATGAGAGTCAACCATTTTTTCTGTTACTTTTAGGGCAGAAAAAATGGGGTTTTCACTGTGTGCAGTGGGAGAGAAAGCAGGAAGTAGCCCAGCAAGGAAGACACCCTAAGGATTCCCAAAGGGGACTGATTAAGCTGTATCTACTGTTCTTACAGAGGATTTGCCAGGATCAACGGAGCAAGGGAAAACCCATACTCAGATGCCTGGAGTCCTTCTGCAGCAAGAGGTAAACTTTGTTCTCATTTACCTGCTAATTTGCTTTCAGTGACTGGATCAATATGCACAGTCCTGAGTTTTTCTTGTTGACTGAATCAGAATGGAATGTTGACAACCAATCAACCCAAAGTTGAAACAGTACTCACTTCTTGGGAACAGTACTCACTTCTTCTCTTATCTTAGTTTTAGTCTTTAATATGAAAGAAACATTATCTCCGTTTTTGAGTGAGAAGTGTTTTTTTACTCCAGGATTCAAGAAAAAATCCAGGATCTTTCAGGTCAGAGGGGGGATTTGTGCTGTACTGATCCAATCTCAAAAAGCAAAGGGGAAGTGGGAATAAAATTTGCCTTTCCGTGACTGGGTCCACTACTGCACAGTTCTTGCATTTTAAACAACAATACCCTAGCAAGCACTCAGGGTGTAAAGGAAAAGGAACAAACGACATTAGGGTCAACATAATGAGACAATTCTTTCTCCCATTCCCTCTCTGTTAGAACTGCTAAATGTTTTATAGCTACACAATTCTCTCCTTGAATGGAAATATCATTCCTTGAGCTCATTAGCAAACCCACATGGCTCAAGTGCTCAGAGGGAAAGGAAACACTCTTTTTGTGATTCACTCCCATGAACCCAGATCAAAAATGCCCATTGTCCCACTGATTCTCCTCAGAGCTTGGTCTTCAGACTTTATCCACATGTGCAAGTGATTTAAATAGCTGATCATGCAGAAGACTTTACTTAACAGGTCTGCTGCAACTTCAGACATAGATTTAATAAAATCCAAAGGAGCTTGTAATGGGGACTGGGCTTATCAGTGGTGCTGCATAGTTATTTGGTCCCTGGGTTCCACCTCTCCTCCATTTCCAGCATCCCTCACCAGCAATCACTCCAACACTGTAGAGGTCCACTTTTGGTAGGGTAGTGATTCAGCCATTCCACCTGGTCATCAGTTGAGTTCACCCCCTTCCGAGGTAACAGAGTCCAAAAAAATATATATAGTTCAACTTCCCCACAAAAGAAAGGGTCAACAGCCCATCTCCAAACCCCTGTGGGTGGCATGCCCTTGACACAGGGCTTACAATGTCTCTATCATCTCCTTCTCTCCAAGAGCAGGGGGAGGGATGGGAAGGAGTTTATGCCCCCTCCACGAAAAGGGTGGTTGGTAGGCGAGCCTGGGCTCTTCCTCTCCACTGGGCTCTGACTTAGAGCCCTGTGAGAGACAGTGATAGCAAAACACCCCAGAGTATTTCGGGGCTGCCTCCCAACGCCACTTCCTACCATTTGCTTCCTTGGTTCATGGTGTGGTCAAATGCCTTATCAATGATCCTCTAGAAGCTAGAGCAAAGGTTTCCCTAGTCTTAGGGAAAGCCAAGCCCTTCCTCATAGGGCCTGGGGTAGCTGTCACTGGCAGAACCTCTCTACAGCCAGGGCTCTAGCTTCATCCTTGTTCAGGAGCTCATGAAATAGGTCTCTCCTCCTCCACCATCCTCCCCCTCTTTCTGAGTTGTCTGGCTCCCTTTTAAGGTCCTCCTATAGCTAGAGCAAGCTCTGCTGGTATGGCAGGGGTGAGTCATCTGGGCCAAGACCTGCTCCCTAACCCCTTCTGTCCCAGTGTGGGTCTTAAATACCCCATTTTAGAACTGACACCAGACCGAAAGAAAAGATGCATTACTTAAAAAGCCAATTATCCAGAGGAAACCTTAGACCTATTAGATCAGATGAGACTATAAGGATGTGGAGGGAAGTATTTGTTAACATCACAGATGCAGGATATCCCTTTGGTCTCTAGTAGTCCCTTATTGTTCCCTTACACTGAGATGATGGCTCTGACCTCCAAGAAGTGGGTCACCTCTGAAGAAAATCATCCTTATTGGCTGAAGAAAGAGGAAGATGACATGCCACTACCCTTGGGGAGAGGAGGAAACTGGAGGAATATGGGAATATAACTCTGGGACACAATGGACAGAACACAACTCAGTGAGGTAATTCACAAGCCAACCAATTGGAAATCCTTCCTCCTTACTGTCCATTCCCAGTGCCTGAGGTTTGATGAAAGCAGATTATCAGAAGCATTTATTACAAGTCCTTTACTGAGATCACAAAGGGCAACATGGATTTCTTAGGTCCATACTTCCTGGTTGATTTCTGGATGGAAAACAGTGACTCTTACCTGCAAAAGAGGGTTTAGGATTTCTTACACTGGGAAGCTAGGATTGAAAGAGAATCCTTATTATCTGAAAGTTCAGCGAGATTGGCATCTGAAATCTCATTAAAAATCTAGACCCCCTATGAAATAAAAAGAATGACTCACATCCTGATTTAGGAAGCTCTAACTTCCCCCATAGTCTAATCCATAAGGCCCTGCAGGCTATTGAAGACAAGATAAGAATGTTAGCTGCTAGGTAGAGGGAATCATGGATCAAGTCTCTAAAGTTAACAACAACTTGGAAAAAAAAACAAACAGAAAAAGCCTCTCTCACTTTTCAGGAAAAGGATGTTAAAATACCCCCAAACCCAAAAAACTACCTCATCCTGCAGTACCTCTGACAACCAGCAGATGGGTATAAAATTGGTTCTACCAATATAAATTAGGTCGGTTCCACTGACAGGCATACGTTATACCAGCCTAAGCACAGTTATACCTATATAGCTGCTACATCTACACTGGTATAGCTATGCCAGTTAAAAACCTGCCCTACATCTAACCAATATATCCAGTGATGAGCTGCCAAAATCTTAACAACGGGTTCCCTCCTCACCCCACGAGGGGGTCATTGCCCACCCCTGCCCCCCGGGACTCCTGCCCCATCCAACCCCGCAGCATTTCTTGACGCCCCCCCAGGACCCCTGCCCCATCCACCCCCCTCCCCTGTCTGCCCCCAGAACCGGGCAGGAGGGTCTCGTGGGCCACTGTAGTGGGTGCTCACCCCACCCCTAAGAGCCAGAGGCACCTGTCTGGAGGCGAGGTGGGGAGTCCTGGCTGTGCTTACCTGAGGCAGCTCCCAGGAAGCATCCAGCAGGTCCCTCTGGCTCCTAGGGGCGGGGGAGCATAGCTGGGGGGGGAGCAGGGGGAGCGGCTGCTCCCCCCACTGATCACATCAAAAGTGGCGCCTTAGGGGCAGACTCCCTGGGAGCTCCGGGGCTGAAGCACCCACGGGGAAAAATTGGTCTGTCTGCCCTCCGCCCGGCCCCAGCTTACCTCTGCTCCGCCTCCTCCCCTGAACCCACCGCCCCACTCTGCTTCTCCGGCCCCCCTCCCGGCTTCCAGCGAATCAGCTGTTCGGCGGGAAGCCAGGGAGGGCAGAGAAGCAGGCCGTGGCTTCCCACTCAGGCCGAGGGTGGCGGAGGTGAGCTGGGGCAGGGAGCGGTTCCCCTGCCCCCCCCCCCCCGAGTTACCTGCTGCGGCACGGGCGGCCCTTCAGCCCACCCCCCAGCCCAGCTCA